GCCTGGTGCTTTTCTGTGCTGCAGTTCCTTGAAATGTGAAATGAACAGTAAAGCTGCAGAAGGTAGCACAGTTGTCCTAGTCTTAGGGTCACAGGGACATCCAGCGGGGCTGCACACCTAGCTCTGGACGGTGGGACAGCCAGAGATGGAAAGTGCACCACCTACGGGCTTTACCGCCTGTGCTGATGAACCAGCACTATAATAACAATTAAATTAGCAAGGCACATCAAGCAAGCTTCTCATTCCTTAGAGCGGACCTCAAGGACAAGCTGAATAAAGATGTATTAGACCTATCACCTTACATCTTTATTTTTCATTACTGGGTAAGAGGGAGTTCCCCGGAACTGGACTCATGCTGTCTGCATCTTAAATGTACATGGCGCTACACTCTCAGCAAGTTTTCTTGTTGGTATCATGAAATATAAGATATAATTATATTTTATAATTATGCAAAAATAGTTTGCATAAAGAAAATTTAGTTTTTTATCATGGACTGCTGTCTAGAAATTGCTAATTCTATGATTACTTGTTCCCAAGAGACAATGCCATGCACTTCAGCACACCTGTGTACTCAACATCCCAAAACAATGTCTCCACGGATGGAGGGAAAGATTAGTTCTTAAGAGGATGAAAACCATCACTTTCGTTCTCCACTGACTCCACAGTCCTCACACTGAAGCCTTGCATACTAAACACGTCATCTCTGTTTCTATGTGGGTCTCAGAACTCATTGCTTTTTCTGCTGACTGCAGGAGAAAGCTGGCTGGCTAATTCCAATTTTCACAGTCTGTCTGCATTTCAACTTGCTTTCCTCATCAGGGATGTTTCCCTGAGAAAGCTATGGGAGGATAATTGGCTAATCAAGATGGGGAACAGCATCCTAAGGGGAAGCTGGGGATTCAGAGGCCCCTCCAAAGACCCTCCTCCTCCATCCTGCCCTCCTCTTATGAAAATTCAAGCCTGTCTATAGCAAATTATGATGCTTTAGCAACTCAGGGCCTAATGCTTCAGCCTTTTGGAAAGAAAAATTCACCTTGGGAACTTTACCATTGAAAGAAAAGGAGTTTCTCTGAGAAGGATTTTATACTGCATGGGTTCTGCCTTGAATTCCCTTTAAAGAAAGTTGAGGTACTGCAAAAGACATCCCATTAAGAAACAGTCTTACACACGGGGCATTTCACAGTGCTCACAGTGAGGAGGGAGGCTGAAAGCAGAGTGTAATGGGCACTGGTCCCCAGCCTGTCACGATCATTCCAGCGGAAGACAGGAAGGGGCCAAGTCACAGTCACCAGCAACAGTGGCCCTGCCTTCCCAGGGCCGACACTGCCTCTGTGCTCAGCTACAGCAGCCACACAGCACATCTCAAGGTCTTCACACAACTGTGGACATTTCCCCTCAGGCCCCTCCTCCGTAGCTGCACATGCCCTGGGATGCCATTGCTCACCTGTGGCTCCCAGAGCTGAAGAATTTGCTGCAAGGAAGCTGGGAGCTCCAGCCAGAGGAGCTGCATTCTACCTAATTTAACCCGGTGGTCAAGTAGGTGCACAGCCTGACATTTGTTAAAGAGCAGTGAAGAAAGGACTTCATGTACGCAGCCAGGTGTGCAGAGACGGCACATACACAGAAGCAGCGTGTGTGAAGACGTGTGCACGTGTGAGCCTGTCTGTGTCCACAGGCACATTGCCAGGCTCTTTCCCAGGGGATCCTCATTCTGTCTACAGGGAGTTACAACACATATCAAAAGGATGTATGTGTGTACATGCACACGTGTGTACTACACACACATATATTTAAAGGTTCATTCTTTTTAGTGTATTGGAGTATGAAAATGAACCATAATTTACTAAGGACTATGTATCTATTTGATATATATTTCTCAAATTACAAAAATGCAGAAAGGTATTATAGCATGAATAAAATTTGCCGAAGAAATATTTACAACCACTAAGAAATAACTTTCTTCACTTTAAGATAACAAGGGGACTTTTATGTAATAAATGTGGACTTAGACTGTTACAATGTATTTAAAAAATAAAATTCTTCCTGGAAAAGATCAGCTTATGATAGATCAACAGTATGACAAATAGAATTTTGAGTAATTAAATATGAACTTCATGTAATCTGAAATGAATCCCTCAGTCTTCTCTGTTCATATAAGCAGACGGTGACCAAAAGGACATGATCTTAATAAGAAAAAAAAAACAACAGAGTTTGATTATAGATCCATCACTACATAAAATAATTTAGTAAGGCCAGTTTCTAATTAGTACAATGAGGGAAAACAGTTTCTGTCCCGTCTTACAAAACCTGTATATAGATGGAGGACGATGACAACATCATCACAGGTGCCCACTGGAAATGGACACCACACAGTTGGTGCTGTTCTTGCTGTATACAACCCCAATGCTGGATGATCCTTGAAATCAAAATAAATACTTAATTCCCAAGTTACAAATAATAGTTCTTCCATAATTTGTGGGATCTTATTGTAATAATCTAGTGGTATATAAAAATTTATATAGGTATATAAAAATTTATCTAAGAACAAAATCTATCAATAGACTATGCATTCCACTTTATAACAGAGGCGGAAAATAGTACCTTTTTAGTATGAATAGTCTGAGTGTTTTTGTCTATACATGAAGCTGATGTCAGTGTGAGCTTTGTCCTTGTGGCCCTGGCATGAGGCCCTGACTCCTGGGTCAGACACGCACCTGCTCTGCCAGGATGGATGGGCAGTCATGCTTGGCGCTGCCTGTGGAGCGCTGTGAGGGGCTTTCCTTTTAACCTTGGGTTGCTGTCTGTGCTTCTATTTGCTAGGAAAGAAGGACAGTCAACCTCAGACAAACCTGCTGCTGGCTCAGGGACACAGGGTCACCATGACTATTAGCCAAGGAGTAGGGAAGACCAACTTTAAAATGATGACCTAGAGCCTTCAAAAAGGTGATAGACTCAAAAAGGGACACTCTGCAGCTTTTCAGAAATGTATAATTTCTGCTACAGCCATCCAAGGGGTGATAGATGCAATCTTGCGTGCACTGTGTGGGGTGCACACACTTTGCACAGCTCACATCAGAAGTGTCATCCTCATGGCAGACACCTTCCTGGGACTCTGGGGGCTCCATGGGAGGCTTCTCTTTGATGGAAAGGCTTTGGGAGACAGTGTCCATAATCAGGTTTTGGAAGTGATTAATTCTTAGGAGGAATACTTTTTTTTAAGTTAGAAATCAACCAAGGCTTTGGTGGCCCTCCAGAGAAACTGCTGCTGTTGAAACCACAGGAAGGGGCCCTCACCAGAGGAGCAGCTGACCCTCACTGGCTCCCAGGGACTTACATGCACAGGTGAGGCCCTCTTGAGAGGGAGGGGTTACTGACCTGCTGCCCAGACACTTAGGGAACCGAGGCATATGTCCCACGACAGGGCAGACAGCCTCATCTCAGACACTTACCGCGGCTGTCACCTAATTCCTTTTAAATTCACAGAATAGATGATTACAGAAGTTGTCTGTTTAACTGGAGAGCCAGATTAAGAACCTGAATTCTGAAGCCAAGCAGCTAACACAGACTATTTGCCCTTGTCTGTGTCCCATGATCCCTTCACGAGTCTCTGAGTTCTGGGACCACTTCCTCATGTGCTCCTGATGCAACGTCCACTACACCCCAAGTGGAGTCACCATGCCAGGCCCAGTCGGTAACTGAAATTCCAGGACTCACACTGTAATTATGCAAGTGTCTGTCTGATGGTACCATCATCCCTCTGTTTATGCTCAGCAAAATGTCATTAGTTATGATTTTCCATCTGGTCTTTGAAAACAATCACAGTAGAACCTCCTCAGGTGACCAGCTCCCTACACCGACAACCTCTTTAGGGCGACCTAAACTTCACAGACTGGACATGCAGCATATGTGCGTGTCCATGCGGTCGGCCCAGGTCCTCATGCTGACCAGTGGGTTGCAGTTCCCTGGGTGTTCACTTACAGAGATTCTGCTGTATTAGGATTTAGGAATGATAATTGATGCCTCCACAGGGAATCAGAAACAAACAACTCACATCTCCAATCTAAGAGGGCTGTACCCACGGCCTGAAACAATTATCTTTTGGATTTATAAATTAGCTCTCTTGAACTTCAGAGTCTTAAAGAGCTTTTGAGCCGTAGGGTGGAGTAAGGAAACAATATTCCCTCCACTTCTCCATGTTTGGGGATTTCTGTGAGGAACCCCCCAAGCCAATGAAGACCGTATCCAGGCTCTTTGGCAAATTCTCAGTTCTTTTGAGAAAATACATGACTTTTATGAAAGTATTAGTTTTAAAGTCATATTTTTAAGTCTGATACTAACAGAAAACTAGACATAAAAGCCAAACAATCTTGTACATTTTGCCTAGAATATCCCGCCCCAGGCACAGCATCCTCTGCTGTGTGTCTCTGACAGAAACATGGTCCTCAAACACAGAAACAGATCTCGGGGTGGTCATCTCATGTCAGTGTATTCCTTTTCATCCTTATTTTGTGGTAGTCATAAAGCAAAGGTGTGGCAATCTACAGACAAAATCCACTTTACCAGGGATGCACCTGTCATTAGGCCAGACTTCCAGCTCCCCAAAAGACGTGTGAGCAACACATCCCAACAGCAGCACTCTGGCTAATAAGAGGGCCTCACGGCCAGAGCACTCACGCAATGTGCAGGTCTGCTGGCTCCACATCTGTGCTACGTGTCACTGAGACAGTCCCATACCCAAACCATGGAAATCTCAGCACAGTGCTACGACAACCAACCTGAATAAAAACTTGATTGAAATGAAACCTAAATCTGGCATATAACCTAAAGGAATTCCTGAAAACAAAGGCCAAAGCCACATAAACAGGTCAGTTTCTCAGTGCTGGCCAAGCCAACTCACGCCTGAGACAGCCGTCCGACTGTCACCAGTGTTAGCACCAGGCTGTTCACACTGAAAGGCTGACCCAGACCACAGTGCACACTGAAAACATCTTAACGATTACCATTCTCCTCCTCCTCCTCGTCCTCCTCCTCCTCCTCGTCCTCCTCCTCGTCCTCCACGTCCTCGCCGTCCTCCTCCTCCTCGTCCTCCTCCTCCTCCTCCTCCTCGACCTCCTCCTCGTCCTCTCGGTCCACCTCCTCCTCCTCGTCGTCAGCGGCCTCCTCGTTGTCCTCAGAGTACTCCTCCTCGTCCTCGTCCTCCTCCTCCTCCTCCTCCTTCTCGTCCATGTCCTCGGTGGCCTCGCTGTCGTAGCAGTCGTCCACCGAGGCGCTGTCTGCCTTCACCGCAAACGGTTTCCGCTTGGCAGCAGGTTCTTGGGGCTGTTTGTCTTGTGTTTTCCTTTTTTTTGCCAAGGGACAACCATATACACTAAAAAAAAAAGAAGAAGAAGAAAAGAAAAAAAGACAGGGAGAAAGAGAGAGCGGGATGGGGAGAGAGGGAGAGAGAGCTGTGTTACTACTGTGGGGGTCAGAACAACAGCGTCCTTGATCTAGATGTTGAAGGTTTAGCATGAACATCTTCAGGGCAGACCAAGGGGCACAGACACACACACGGTCTCGCTCATATGCCAGAACATGTTAATGAAATGACACACGGCAGAGAAACTCGGTTTGCGTCTGCCTAGTTACCATCAAGATTTAGTCAAGCTTCTTCTTAGTTCCTTATTATTATAATTCCGAACAACATGGAGATCCGAATAAAATTTATGAGATTGGCATTTACAAAACAGTTGAATAATACGCCTAACAGGCAACTGAAAATACAAATTTAATTAAGCATTTTGCCAAATATAAAACATACATTTAAAACAACATTTATTTTATGTATGCTGTATTAACGTATGTACATTATGCATACATTGTGAGTATTTGGAATATATTGGATTTGTACATTCTGTAGATAAACTCGTATCTTTAGAAAAGATAACTCCCCAAGTAAGAGGAACCACACGTGCTTGGTCAGGTTGCTAGGGAAGCACCTGTGCAAGCTAGAGTTGAGCAGAACATCGTGGATCTCTGGCACTGTCTGTCCCATCCCTCGTTTTCCAGAAAACAATTTCCTTGTTACTGATAATCTCCACTAAACCATGGTGAAAAAGGTCCAAACCTAAGTAAGACCCACACAGCAGAGGCTCACAGTCTGTCCTTAAAGAAGGGCAATTTCCCAAAGCTACATAGTTAATTTAGGCTTTTTTCTTTCTGGAAATACTACATATACTGAAAGAGACAGGAGGGAATAGACATAAGGGTGAACCCCACATGGGCAGACTGCGTTCGTCCCCAGGGAGCTGTGTGAGCCCCTCATTTCCCTGGGGCATTCCTGCAGGCCTTGGCTAGTGTGGTTTTGCACCCAGGCCTGGTAAAATGATCATCCAGTCAGGAACCTATCTAGTATCTATTGGGGAGATGCCTCTGTGCTGGGCCCTGTGCTATCCTGGAAGTTCTGGGCGAGGAAAGGTCTTCTCTCCTGGGTTCCATGAGATAAGGGAGCTTTTGGGCAGGTCAGTAACACCATCCTGGCATGTCAGATACTCAACAAATACCATTGGGTGAGCAGATGATACGATAAACACCATGACACAAACGTGCAGAGGGGGCGTCATGTAGAAGGGGGGTCACAGGTGCCAGCAGGGGCTCCAGGAAGAGCTGACGCCAGGGGTGAGCTTTCAAGGACATGTGAGTGGCCTCTGTCATCCCATTGCTGTTCAAGCCAAATAGAATTTGCAGAAGAAGCCAAGTAAGAGGACAATAAGTTCAGAAAATGAAATCAAACACAACCCCCAGAAATTGGAGGGAAGAG